TAGCAGCTAGGAACGACACATGCAACAATTTCAGACATATGAAATAATGCACACCCTGGGAGGAGAATCGTGATATGAAAGCAAATCTTGCTGAAAATGGACTTCTCCCTAGAAAGCTGTATTGCCCTATATTTTACATGTTTGTAACATACCAATTGTCACGCTAAGGAGCCCTCTTCCCCTGCACACCACTGATGACAATGACAGCTGTTTGCATTCATTCATGTATGTTGGCTCTGTTAATTCATTTATTCTGAAGTAGCCTTGTCCTCCACTGATTTAAAATCCAAAGGGGAGTGATAGTTCTTTGGGTTAATTTTATATTTTAAAATTTAATTGTCCTACAATCAACCATTAAAAACAGGGATGGGGAAGTTGTGAACCTCCGCATAGAACTGGATTACAATGGCCAAACCCAGTACAAATGTAGTCGTTTGTAATGGAGCTCACCCCGTTGCGGGGATTTGAACCGCCGACCTTCTGATCAGCAAGTCCTAGGCTCTGTGGTTTAACCCACAGGGCATACTTCATATTTATTTCACCCATTTTATTCTCATAGCAACGCTGTGAGCTAGTAGGTCTGGCCAAGTCACAGCGACTGGTCCAAGGTCAACAAGTTAGCTTCATGGCAGAGTGGTCTCCTAGGCCCACACGCTAACCACCACACTGCACTGGGTTTTAACCTGGAATTGCTTCTATCTCTCATGTGTGTAATCTGTGGGATAACCAACTTCATATAACCAACATACTTAAGTCTAATTAATGTATGAAGAGGTTGAGACCATGACGTAAGCTGTCCTGCCAGGCTTAGTTTACCTTGGGAGGAACTACGTAATCAAGCTTTCGTTCCCCTCAGTCTATATGAGAAGCTCCCTGTGTGAAAATGATTGAGCTGGTTGCTCCACATGGCTCTCACAAGCCACTGTTTGAGTTCCTATACCAATAATTTAAGAACTTTCACCATATTGAAACTAAGCCAAGTTTTACTGCCTGTGCAACTTTCTGAAGCACATGAATCTGACCTTTGAGGAGTTTGTAAGTAAACCATTTTTAACTTACCAAACATGTGGGTTCCCCCCCTCTATGCTGGGGAAAGAGGAAAGTTTTGGAAAGCACAAGGTATATTTTAAACGTCTAACAGCTTATGTTTCCATGTTTTACTTTGCTGCATTTTAAATCTCTGTTGGAGTTCTCTCACCAAAGAGTACTTGCCCAGGAAACTTGGATCTTGGCATCTAAGAATTCTTCTTTTCATCCCTATTTTTCCCTTGAACCAACATAACCATCCAGTGTCATTACTTCACACAAAACTTTGTGATATCTGATGTCTATGAAAGAGCTGGTGCTCTTAACCTTGTACACATTTTGTTGGTGTTTAAAAAATGTAACAGTTCCATCACTAGTGTAGCAAAACTGCATCACTATGGTGCAAAAAAGAAGCATCTGTTGAATTTCTGCCTGCCATCTGCAGAAATCAAACGTACTGAGCTGCTGCCAGGGAAAAAATAAAAATAAGAAGTGGTAACTCTTGACTGTGAGTTGGCATCCCACACAATCATGAAAATGATATTCAAATGGTTTTAATTGCCTGTCGCTAAAATCAGCTGTGGGCCCTCGTGCTCTGGATATGCATTGTGCAATGGAAAACAGGTTGCTCACTCCTGTAAGGCAAGATAACTCAAGCTTACCCCCATCCGCTAGACAGAGCCACCTGGAATTTCCAGCATTTGCATATCTACCCAGTTTAATTTCCCGGTCTTATGCCGCTCAGTAGTGTTCAATAAAGCAAATTACTTTGGAATTGATTTACATGTAAATAGCAATTGAAGGATAAAGTTAATGTTCTTATTCACGGGTAGAGGGTAACAAAGGACAGCTGTGCCCTACATTACCACTCGGTTTCCTGCATGGCAGATGTGGGCTCTTCTTCCTCCATGAGGTCCACTTGCAGTGGGGTATTCCTGCCTCTTCAGCCTGCAGCACAACCCACAAAATATCGGAAAGATCACTGATCATAGGGTGTCAAAATCAGCTGAGGGGGCTCTCTTGGTAGTCCCACTACCCTCAGAAGTGTGGGGAATGGCACTCAAGGATGGAGCTTTCTTTGTAAGGTAAAGGGGCCCCTGACCATTAGGTCCAGTCGTGACCGACTCTGGGGTTGCGGCTCATCTCATTTTACTGGCCGAGGGAGCCGGCGTACAGCTTCTGGCTCATGTAGCCAGCTTGATTAAGCCGCTTCTGGCGAACCAGAACAACGCACGAAATGGTGTTTACCTTCCCGCCAGAGCGGTACCTATTTATCTACTTGCACTTTGATGTGCTTTCGAATTGCTAGTTGGCAGGAGCAGAGACGAGAAACAGGAGCTCACCGTCGCGGGGATTCGAATCGCTGACCTTCTGATCGCAAGTCCTAGGCTCTGTGGTTTAACCCACAGAGCCACCCGCGTCCCTACCCATCTACATAGATACCTGCTATTTAGAAGACCGCTTCGTTCCATCTGATGGATTCTAGTCCACAGCTCATACCATAATAAAACGGTTAGCCTTTAAAGTGGCACAAGACTTAGGAATATAAAAACAGCCTGCAGGATCGGGCCAAAGATCCACCTAGTCCATCATACTGTTCTCACAGTGGCTAACAAGATGCCTGCAGGAAACTAGGAGACAGAACATGAGAACAAGAGGAATCTCCCCTCCTGTGGTTTGCAGCAACTGGTATTTGGAAGCACTACTGCCTCCATCATGGTTTGCAGCCATTGATTGCCCTCTCCTCCATGAATTTGTCTCATCTTCGTTTGAAGCCATTCTAGTTGGTGGCCATCACTGCCTCCTGGAATAGTGAGTTCCATAGCTTGACTAAGCTCTGAGAACTTTTTCTTGTTTGCATCATAGCTTAAAGGTAAAGGTAAAGGGACCCCTGACCATTAGGTCCAGTCATGACCGACTCTGGGGTTGTGGCGCTCATCTCACTTTATTGGCCGAGGGAGCCGGCGTACAGCTTCCGGGTCATGTGGCCAGCATGACTAAGCTGCTTCTGGCGAACCAGAGCAGCGCACGGAAACGGCGTTTACCTTCCCGCCAGAGCGGTACC